GCCACGATCGCCAATTTTTTTCTAAAGGGTGACATCTTTTCTTGACTTACTTTCTTGGGCAACAGAAATAATCACCATAACCATATTTAGATTCTGTTCATTTGTTTGTTCATCCTTTCACGTATATACTCAGTATATATTTATTGAGCACTTACATGTGCTTCTTTCTAGTTCTGGGAACAAAACAATAACTAAATTAAAAAATTTATAACTTGCTCTAAGAGATTTAACATTCTAGTGGGTATTAATCACTGAGCTTAAATAAAATAGGGATTAGTGCTAAGGAGTAAAGAGAAAATAAGAATTGGGAAGGGGAGAGGAACTATTAGGGAGCGGAGCAGTTGCCATTATTTATAGTGACCAGGGAAGCCTCACTGAGGAATTAGCATTTAAGATGAGTCTTTGCTATGATGGCCCTATTTATGTTTTCAGTTAGTAGTACTGGGGCAGAGAAATCCTAAATCCCAAGTCTGCCAATTCAAGAAATAACTTCAACATTGTTAGGGAAATTAGGAGCTAAAGCCACTGGTCTTCCAACAAAGTGGTCTGAAAGACTTGTGAGGTCCCTATAAAGGTCATGGTGGCTCATGCCCAACCCTCTTAAAAAGGTTGCATCTTTGCAGCCATTAATGTGGTTCTGTAGCAGCCCTAGTGATGCAATCATTCTCAACCAGACCACTGACTGATGGACAGGGACCCATCTAGAATGACTTGGCTGGGGAGTCTTGGAGTCTATCTGTGTCTCTAGGGCCTTGGCTGCTGCCTGTGTAGGAAAATCTCAATAGAAATGACAGTAAGCTTTGCAACTTGACTTCTCTACCTTTAAAATGTTTTTGGAAATTGATTTTATTTTTGTACCTAACCATCTCTTATTCAAAAGACCCCATTTATGACAGTGGGAAACACTTTGAGAAAATGTCACACATTACCTACTGCCTATCAGTACCTGGAATATATGAATGTTTATTTAGTCACTATCTTCCCTCCATCAGAATGTAAATGATTGGAAGAAAGGAAGCCTATTTTAATCACAACTGTTAACCTAGTGCTACCAAAATAAAGACAATGTGGTAGATGTTTAAGAAATATTTGTCTAATTGAATAATTAACAGACTTTAAGCAGTGTGGCAACAAGCAACATAACTAGCAACTATATGATAGTGTCTTATGGATTATCTGAAGATCAAGAAATGGACATCTGACCTCTTATCAGTAGGGCCTGGACTTATCAGTAGGTCCCAATTGTTGCTCTCTCCTCTGTGTCAATCTACCTCTCAAAGAAACTCATGTTCCTTAATGAGTGTTCAACCTGGCTTGTCATCTTCTCCCTACCACTACCCAGTTATGACCTTAGACATGGCTTTGATCTCAGTGCACCTATTTCAGCTCTCAAAGATTCTCATTTTATAACCTGGAAAAGCCAACACCCATTTGTGTAATGCAATAATACATTTCTAAAGGAAGTGGAGCAAGCACCTGCTTCTGAAAATTACTTTTTATAAGTAAGTCTGTTTTTGTTCAAGGCAGTTAAGTCAATTCTGTACCTGGCAGGGGTGGGGGGGGTTGTAAATAATATCATTCTTTTTTAATTATTGACTTCAATCTGTTTATTAAAAAATACCAGGATTTGTTTGAGACTTTGTATTTTTCATGTGATTTTATATCTGTAATCTCCCACACACAAAAACAGATATGAAGTATAGAGACTTGAGAGTAAAACATGACTTAAAGCATGACATCATTCTCTTGGAAATAGAGAATGTCATCATGAACTATGAGGCAGCATTAAAATTGGAATAGTAACAGAAAATATTTGGTAAAAGAAAGTCAACAAAAAGCAACACGAGCAAAAATGTTTAGTGCTGTATATTTTTTGTAGTGAAAACTAAAAATAAACTTCCATCAATAGGCATCTAAGTAAACTATGATGCATTTATACTATAACAAGTGGTAAGACAATTAAGATGAATGGCATGATATATACCCTCAAGACATAGTATTGAGAGAAAAGAAGGTAGGTTATAGAATATGACCAGTATAATCCCATGTGTACATATAGAAAAAAAACAAAGCATATTTCTGACCTGAGATATGTATATTAACTCAGGAAAAGATCTCGGATTAATAAAATGGTTAACAATGGTATGTATGGGAATCAAGTAGGGTTAGTGGTGCTTGGTGCAATCAGAGTTCTTCACTTTCTGCTCTAAGCTTCTGTGCTTTGGACATTTTATTAAAGTTATAGTTTCCTTTTGTAATTATAACATTTAAAATTATTGGAGAGCAAAAGATGTGATAAAGAGCAATTGAGATACAAGGTAAAATTTTAGGTTAGGAGAAGGAAGATGAAGCACTTCAGGGTAGCAAGTTCTGCCAATTATCACCGTATTCTGTGAAATTTTATGAGCGATGATTTGGAGATTTCACAGTGGTTTCAGGATGACATATAAATATATCTACATCACTCCAAAAGGTATGACCTTGACCAAAAGATCCCCCAATAGACAAAAGCTAAGGATTTTTCATAGAATTTTCACATGTACCTTTTTGTCTATTTGCTTTGTGGGAAATTTTTTATATATTTATGAAACATGGATTATTCCTATCTCTGTATGAATAATTCTGCCACAATAAAAAAAACAGTTATATCTATCACCGAAATTGTTTCTCTAGCTTGTGACTTTATTTCCACTTCATTGGATTTGTTCATTTAGTTTGTAATTTTTATTGAGTCTTTGTATACAACTCTATGACCTGGCAGAGAACCGACAACAAGGCCTCTGTTCTCACAGAGATTATAGTCAGGTGGTGGAGGTGAATGACAGTAAGAGCTAATAAAAATACCAGGAAGTGAGAACTCCTGTGATGAAAATTAAGCAAGGTGATGTGATAGGGTGTAATGGGGAAACGACTTTAAGATAGGTAGTTAGGAAATCTTGAGGAAGTAATTCATAAACAAAGGCATACAACAAGACAGGAAGGAGCCAGATGATCATTTGGAGGAAAAACCGAGCAGAGGGACTAGGGTGTGTAAGAGTTTGTAGGACTCAAAAATTTGCTGCACGGTTTGGACAAAGATAAATGAGAAAGCAGGAACATGTCATGCTGTAAGGACAAGGTAAGGATTTTAATTTTATTCCCTATTTGATGAGCTGCTATGGGCAGGGATCTGGAGGGAGGTTAATTACAGAAATCTGATATAAGTTTATTTTAAAAAATATCTCTGACTATCTTTTGATTATAAATAGACAAGAGTAGAAGTGGCCCTAACCAGTTTGGCTCAGTGGATAGAGTATCAGCCTGCGGACTGAAAGGTCCAAGGTTCGATTCCAGTCAAGGGCATATACCTTGGTTGTGGGCACATCCCCAGTAGTGGGTGTGCAAGAGGCAGCTGAATTGATGTTTCTCTCTCATCGATGTTTCTAACTCTCTATCTCTCTCCCTTCTTCTCTGTTAAAAAAAAAAAAAAATATATATATATATATATATATGTATATATATATATATATTTCCCCACTTCTATTCATATATATATACGAATATATATTATATATATAATATATATTCGTATATATATATTTCCCCACTTCTATTCATATATATATATTATATATATATGAATAGAAGTGGGGAAACCCACTGGAAAAATAGAGGAGGTCCAGGTGGGAGAAGATGGTGACTTTAGAATAGGGTGGTAGCTATAGATATAAACTTGCTAGACAATTATAGGATCAGAGATAACTCTAGATTTGGTAACTTCAGCTATTGCAAAGTGTGTTCCCTGAGATCAAGGAAACCAGGGAGAAACAGATTTGGGGGAAATCAGTGTCTTTTTTGTATGTACGATGCCCACTGGACATATGTTAGGTAGTAAAATATGCGAGCCTGGAGTTCAAGGAGAGATCAGAAAAAGAGATCCATGTGGGAACCATCTCCATACATAATGGTGGTATTGAAAACTGTGGACATTACTCCAAACTCTCATACTCACTGTGTGCCTCACCATTTATTTAGGTAAAACTCGCCTAAGCAGAATGCTTGTTTCTAGGTCTTCCCCTTTCTAACCTTATTTTTGCTTTTGATGGTTGCTTTGAAGCCTTACCGTGTGAAGGACAGTGGGAGAAGAGTAGAAAGACACTGTGCCGGGTCTGTACTTAGAGTGACAAGAGTGCTTCTCATTTGTGAAGCTCTTGACATTACCTCATTTACTAAAGCTAAAAACTGAGCTTAAAGTGAGCAGACCATATTTTAGATAGATTCTAGATTTAGACTGTGTTCTTTAGCTATGATAAACTAATCATAAATTTCTATTGCTATTATAATAGAAACATTATATGCTAATGTAAGTTACATGAAACAAATTTTTAATGCTATTGATTGTTCATTCTCATGTGCCATCGTCTACTTTGTTGAAATACAAACACGAACTAAATAAAATAAGAAACTATGAAAGTATGCCTTTACTTCTAGATAGTATTTCCAATTTTGTTTTGACATTTACCTTTATTGGGATAATGCATGGATGTTTTACATTATTTGTTTTATCAACAGTATCCTTATACAACTTTATCTTTATAATAAAAACACTCTTCAATTATTTTTATGCTTTGAAAACCCTTTCTTACCCCCATGTTTGCTGTTAGTTTATGCAGATTTTATTTTATTTTCGTATCTTTATTGTTGAAATGTCTCCTTTCCCCTCATTGTCTCTTTCTAGCCTGCTTCTACTCTGCACCCCAGGCCTTCACGACACTGATTTATTTTATTTTTTGACTTACAGATCCAAATGGATTAATTGTGTTGTTTGGGGTGAAGTATAAACTTTATTTTTTACATCCTCAATGGAAATTGCATTAAAAAATATGATTGAGCCCTCATTTATCTTGAATGATTCTTACTCACTGCAGATCAACTCTCCAGCTCTCCTACTGGCACATGGTGACCTCGAGGCCCTGATCTAGTAGGACAACGGAATTCACATCAGTCCTGAGCCTGGAAAGATGGTGTCACAGTCCTTGGGCCAGCAGGATTTTCCTGTGGAGCCCTGGGGAGGGGTGAGTGATGACTTCGGTGACACTGATGGTTCACCCAGCCTCCTGGACGCTGACTGCCCCTCTTGCCCATCAGACGTCAGGTTCACGAGGCACAAAGCTGCCTGGATTAATCCCCAGGCTATGCAGCTTCAGCTGCAGGATTTGCCGCTTCAGGTGCCAACAGTGAGGAACATTGGCAGCAACTCTGTGGGGGATACTGCCTCTCCCTTGGGCACTTCACCTTTGTCTCTTGAGAACTCCATGGTGGAGACATCACTGTGGAAGGACACCGCGGGCTCCATGGATAGCTCGGGTAAAAAGAGCAGTGACTTTTCTTTTAACCCCGTGCAAGAGTGTGCAGAGCCCCCAGGACGCTCTCCTTGGATGTCTCCGTTCACAAGCTCCAAGATTTTGACGGCTTCCCTATGTCCTGAAGCTGACAGTGCTTGTTTCAAGCCTTCTCACCTGACAGCTTCCACTGACAAAGGTAACTTCAGTCAGGGACTTCCCTCATTCCTATCTGTTCACACACTTGCTTTGTCTTGATCTAAAGGTCTAAAGCCTGCCTCACTGTCTTCCTCATAAGAAAAAAATGTCAAGAGTTTACTCTGAGACCAGAAGCCAGTACATTAAGTTATTTAATATTGCCTTTGGCCCATCTACCTGGACCATCACAGCTGTGAATTCAAGTATTTCCTTTCTCCTTAGACTGCAGGGAAATGCCATCCTAGCTCAACATAGTTGTTAATCAATGCCACCAGTTAATTTTGAGCTGCTGTGCGCCTTCAGGGACTTCCAGCTTATGAAATTACCTGCAAGGCAGGCATTGGAAGTACTCTCAATCCACTGTGCTGGTGTTTCCTGACAGAGTGGGCTCCATTGCACACCAGCACACCAGTACTTACTAGGAAATGAACTTGCCTTTCCTGTTATATTTACCTGGATAGAGTGTGACTAGAAAACTGTCAGTATTAAAAATAGTAACCATGCCCTGGCTGGTTTGGCTTGGTGGATGGAGCATCAGCCTGTGGACTGAAAGGTCCTGGGTTCAATTCTGGTCAAGGGCACATGCCTGGGTTGCAGGCTCCATCCCCAGTGGAGGGTGTACAGGAGGCAGTCAGTCAATGATTCTTTCTCATCATTGATGTTTCTATTTCTCGTTCCCTCTTCCTTCCTCTCTGAATTTAATAAAAATATATTTATAAAAACAAAAATAGTAACCACAATTTCCCAAAGGCTATGCAAAACTTTTTTAGAAAATTAAATTAAGGGCTCCCTGTGGGATCCCTTAACACGACCTGTGTGGTTTAGGGCCCACTCAGAGTCTGGCTTCTGGAGAAGGCCACACACTAAAATGAATGGACTGGAAAAGAGTTAATTTGGGAAAATGGGGGCCAGGCAGAAGTCCACCTCTAGGGGAGGACTACTCCTTTCTCTGGCCTTTTACCATTCCTTTTATTGAGATTCTGAGACAAAGACATCTCTTAGGCAGGAAATTCCAACAATAGAGAATCAATAAGAATTTACCTATGATTAACAAATTAAAGTTGCCTCAACTACCACTATCTCAACTAGAATATGAGTTAATAGCTCTGACCATTCAGAGCCATCCAGGTTGGCCAGCTCTTTTTACATTTTACCATTAGCAACTCAACCTTGACAATGAGTTAATAGCTCCAGCCATTCAGAGCCATCAAGGTTGGCCAGCTCCCTTTACATATTATTACCAGTGACAATGTTTGATTTTGGTTTCCAGCAGCTCTCATTGCTATGAAGTGATGCACATATTCCTAAAATACTGAAATTCCTAAAAGGAGATAATCCATGCAAAATGCCATTGAGGAGTCAATAAATTAGCTATCATTGTTATAATTTGTAGCATGCTTATTTTATTTTAAAATATTCATTATTTTTATTTTCATGCTTTGCATTAATTTATATTTCTGTTAGTCAATGAAGTCAAGTAGTCAATGAAAGTTCTTCTGTCAGAACAATTTTAAAAGCTGCCTATGTGTTATGCGTGAATTTGTATGTGTGCATGTTTGTATGTATTTATTGTTGTGAGGTCAAACCCTGAGTTCAAAATAAGACCACTGGAGGCTGATGATTGATTAAAAAAAAAAATAGGCAAAGATTTATTGAAAAACTGGCCATGATGGCCACAAGAACACCACACGCAGGTGACCACACTCACAACCACACTGTTCCAGATTGTAGGCAGTCTTTTTAAATGTCCAAACCACAGGAATTTTCCTTTGTTCTAAATTCTAAAATCTAAAGGCTGTGAACATTGCAGAGCTCAGCAGTTAATCTCTAAAGGTTATCTACAGTTTCTACCCCTGAAGCTACTGAGTCAGTAGGAATCAATCTCCTGTAGTTCTGGTTCCAGGCCCAGGAAAATTGCCTTAGCCTCCAGGTCTCCACCTGGAAGCTGAGATAACTACCCTATCTTTAAGCAAGTGCAGAAGCTAAAATGGCAGGGTTAAAATTCAAACAGCAGTTTTTACTCAAGTATGGTTGTTACCATATTTCATTTATATCTCACTAGCAGTGTTGTGGGGTCAAAACCTGGGTTCAAAATAAGACCACTGGGAGCTGATGATTAATTTAAAAAAGCAGGCAAGGATTTATTGAAATATCTGGCCAGGACAGCCGAGAGAGCACCACACGCAGGTGGTCTCCGCATGACTGCCCCGTTTTAGGGGTAGGCAATTCCTTTTAAAGGTTTAAACCGCAAGAATTTTCTTTTTGTTCCTAAATCATAAAGACTAAATTCTAAAGACTGGGGACAGCCCGCAGGGTCGGTTCCAGTCACATCCTGCTGAACATTGGAATGTGGCCCTGTCTTGTGATAGCGATAACACAGAAGCAGAGCTCAATGGTTAGTCTATAAAGGTTATCTACAGTTTCTGTCCCTGAAGCTACTGAGTCAGTGGGAAGCAATCTCCTGTGGTCCTGGTCCCAAGCAAGGGAAAATTGCCTTAGCCTCCAGGTCTCCACCTGGAAGCTGAGGTAAGTATTCCATGTTTAATCAGGAATACTAAGGCAGGAGCCAGACTTAGCAGGGTTAAAATTCAAACAGCAGTTTTTACCAAAGTATGGTTGCCACTATATTTCAGCAAGAACTGGTCATCCCCTTTCCTAAAATATGGGGTTTATTTGTTCTATTGAAAACTTGGAAAAGTCAAAGATGATGAAAGTCTTCAACACATTAATCATTGCTGAAGAGTAGCAGATTTGGGGCAATCTTTCAACCGACTAACTAAGAATAAGAACCAAATTTGAGCAAAATAAAACATTTTGATTACAGGCCTTTTTCTGTCTTTTTGCTCATCTGCTGGGATAGTTCTAAGGCAAAGAGTAATTTGCAAATTTAGTGGTTGCCAGATAGGAGATTAGTCTTCTACTAGATTGCCTCACAGGGGAGAGTGAAGAGAACATGGAGAAAAGGGAATGCCTTCTTCCCCTGCAAACCACCACCACTATGACATGTTATGTAGTACAGTGTTACAGAAAACCGAAGAAGAACAAAGCAATACTTAGAGACATGGAGTCACATTTATTACACGAGGGCCTAGAGGATAATGTATCTCAAATTCTGGGCCCCAACATGCAGGAATTCTCCCTATTTATATGATTCTACCCTCTTTATCTCCCAAATATGGAGTGTTTTCAGTCCCCTTTTGCAAGTTCTTAAAGAGCCAGTGTGTACTGGAGCCTTGAGACCTCAAACAGAGGCCTGGCCTGGTGCCAGCACTGATGACCTTGTCTTGGGAAGTTCAATAGCTTAGCTGAAGTGGAAGTAGTCTTAGCAAGCAAGAATTTACAGGAGCCAATTAGCAGGATTAAAATTTTAAACAGCAGTTTTCATATAAGATGGATGCTTCAACAGAAGGGTCTCTATAGGGCCTAGTATACACTTGACCCAAATCATTTGTTGTATCACTGCATAGAAATGGTTGTGAAATTTTAAATTATCCCATCTTTGTCTTTATAGAAAATAGGTATTCCAGCCCCAACAATCTCTCTGAGTACCTTAAAAAACAAAACAAAACAACAACAAAAAAAAACCCTTTGTCTTTTGGGAGTATTACTTCAACTTGGTAAAGGGATTCCAAGGGATTAAAAAAAAAATCCTGAGTGATCAGGTCTTTCTGTCTCTGGTGTGTGTGTCAGCAATGGGAGAACAGGCATTTGCCTCTACGACTTGGGATTTCCCTGTGCTGGTGCACTTCTAGTGGTAGCAGCAGGGTTTTCCTTCCCAATATATAATAAAATGGCAGGAAAAGACCCCTTGGGCTGTTAGAAACAATTCCAGTTTCTTCATTTGCATAGAATTTACACATTTACAAAGCACTTTCACATTCTTTACTCTTTTAACTTAATAAAAACCCCAGTTCAAGGAATGAGGAAAAATATTTTTATATATATATAATTGATTTTTTTACAGAGAGGAAGAGAGAGGGATAGAGTTAGAAACATCGATGAAAGAGAATCATCGATCAGCTGCCTCCTGTATACTCCCTACTGGGGATGTGCCCACAACCAAGGTACATGCCCTTGACCTTCTGTATACTCCCTACTGGGGATGTGCCCACAACCAAGGTACATGCCCTTGACCAGAACCGAACCTGGGACCCGTCAGTCCACAGGCCGACGCTCTATCCACTGAGCCAAACCAGTCAGGGCAGGAAAATTATATTTTTTAAAATATATATTTATTGATTTCAGAGAGGCAGGAAGAGGGAAAGAGAGATAGAAACATCATTGATGAGAGAGAACCATTGATTGGCTGCCTCCCACACAACCCCTACTGGGGATCAAGCCTGACACTCGAGCATGTGCTCTGAGCAGGAACCAAACCATAACTTCCTCGTTCATAGGTAGATGCCCAACCACTGAGCCATGCCTGTTGGGCTATAATATATTCATTTTATTTTATTTTATTTTATTTTATTTAAAAAATATATATATTTTATTGATATTTTACAGAGAGGAAGGGAGAGAGATAGAGAGCTAGAAACATCAATGAGAGAGAAACATCGACCAGCTGCCTCTTGCAACCAATGTACATGCCCTTGACCAAAATCAACCTGGGACCTTTCAGTCCACAGACTGACGCTCTACCACTGAGCCAAACTGCTTTCGGCTATTTTATTTTATTTTTTTAAAGTATTAAAAATAATACATATATCTCCCCTTTCCCCCCCATTGACCTTCTCTAGCCTCTCCTACTCCCCTTCCCCTACCCCCTGCATACACGCCCCCTCCCCCCTCCCCCCCCCCCCCCCCCCCCCGCAGTGTCTTGTGTCCATTGGTTATGCTTATATACATGCATACAAGTCTTTTGGTTCATCTCTTACCCCACTCCCCCAACACTCCCAGCCTTCATGCTATAATTTGACAGTCTGTTCAATGCTTCTCTGCCTCTGTATCCTTCTTTTTATTCATCAGGTTATAATGTTCTTTATTATCTATATATATATAAGCCTAAGCAACTGTTATGACTGAATGACTGGAACGACCTGTTGACCAGTTATTATGACATGCACTGACCACCACGGGGCAGATGCTCAATGCAGGAGCTGCCCCTGGTGGCCAGTGCAGTCCCACAGCCAACGTCCTATGTTCCCTTCCCCCTGCCAGTCAGCCCCCCTATAGGCCTTGACCACTGGCCAGGCCAAGTTGCTGAAGCACAAATTTGTGCACCAGGCCTCTAGTCCATAAATGAGTAAGATCATGTGGTATATTTCTTTCACTGCCTGGCTTATTCACTTAGCATAATGCTCTCTAGTCCATCCATGTTGCTGCAAATGGTAAGAATACCTTCTTTTTTAGGGATGAGGAAATTTCAATGCATAGACTCAGCTGGTACATGGAGAGCTGGAACTGGAATCTACACTGATTAATCTCTGTACTTTCCTCTAAGTTCAGGGTCCAAAAATAATGACTGGGTCAAATTCAGCCAGCCTCCTGATTTCACAAATAATATTTTGCTTGTTTTATCTATAGCTGCTTTCTCACTACAATGGAAAAACTGAGTAGTTGGAACAAATGCTATATGGACCTCATATTCTACAATATGTACTAGCTAGTTGCTCTTTTCTGAAAAAAATTTGCCCACTCTAGATGGCTTCTGAATCTAAGAGGTTCAAGGTTTTCCATGGCCCCGACCAGCATGGCTCAGTAGTTGAGCATCAACCTAAGAACCAGGAGTTTACAGTTCAATTCCTGGTCAGGGCATATGCCCATGTTGTGGTTCAATCCCTATTATGGGGTGTGCAGGAAGCAACCGATCAATGATTCTCTCTCATCATTGATGTTTCTATCTCTCCCACTCCCTCTCTCTTCTGCTCTGAAATTAAAAAAAAAAAAAAAAAAAAAAAAAAAAAAAAAAAAAAAAAAAAATTTTCCCATGGAACAGCAGCTTCCTTGAAGATGAGGCAAGGGATTTGAGTGATCCTGCTTTTCTCTCTGTCACCCTGAGAGCTGTATAATCATTAAGACATTGGCATCATTTTCTTCTAATTTAGTAGATTGGGACAACCCAGCTTTTATGGCTCTCACAAAAAATCTTTTGACTTAAATGCTACAATAAGAAATTGCATGTGTTCTGCTGGTGTTCATTGCCAGTAATGGAGTTGCTTAAGGGTACAGACTGGATGAGTCAACTGAATATACTTTCTGCAATTTCTTCTTGTTTTTGATTGGAGGAAGACCATTTTAGAGAAACAAAGCTGACATTTTTCAGATACTTTCTTTCTGCAAACAGGAAGTTTGTGGTCAATTGCAGGGAGTTAGAGAAGTGAATCCATGACTCTTATGGCTGTTTCTAGATTATTTCTTCTCACCTTTCTTCATCTCCTTTAAGTAGTTTCCATGATTCCCTTATTTTTCTGCCTCATTGGTCTGCTCCATCCCAGGGTTCTTCCAGGTGTTCTTATTGTTCCAAGGGCCTCTTGTAGAATGATCACCATTAAGGCAATATCTGCAAGCCTGAAGAGTCATTCTTCTTTTGTCATCCTAATTTATTCTAGAGTTGTGTTAATTAAAAAACAATATTTAAAAGCCACTCCCTACAATTATTTTGTTTTCTTAAGTAATCTTTGGACTTCTTTTTCTTTATTTTTAATAACTTGCTATATTGTCAGGTGCTGTTCAAATAAATGGAAGAAGCATTTTGTTAAATTCCTTCTCACCAGAAGCATTCATGCTTCCAGTTGATGTAGAAAAGGTGAATATTTTACTATTACTTTCTTTTTATGCCACAGGGAGTGTTAATCCTTTAGATAGAGCTGTCATGATTTAAATTTGGAAATTTCACTTCATGAGGCATGGCAAGTAGGTTTCATTTCAGCAATTGATTGATAGAGGGTGGAGGCTGTCAAGAGCCCCAAGCTGAGAATGGTTCTGAGACAGTGTCTATGCTCAGCTGGAAAGTCTGTCATGATTGATGAATGATGCCAACCATTGGGCCATCACCAATCTAGGGTTTTATATCACAAGAAATTCAAATTGGGTTGTTTATTGATTGCAGTGGCTATGTCTTATGTCTGAAAGATATGGGCTATCCTTTACAAAATAACCTCTAATTAACTCCATTTAAATACAGCTTCTTGATATATATATATATCAAGAACATTTATTTGGTAAACTACAGAGGTAGAAAAAGTAACTCCTAGAAGAAATGGGCTTAGGAGACAATTTATGGCGGTAAAGGAAGAGCCCTTGGAGCTTGGGAGTGAGAAAGCTAATGGTAATGTGCCTGGGGTGGGAGGTGGCGGGGTGGGGGGTGGAGAGGGAAGGAAAGGGAAAGGGAAAGGCACAGGTATGCTCCTGGGAAGGAGAGTGCCTGCTTCTTGATTTTTTTTAAAATGTAATATACCTCAATGAAAAAAAAGAGTTGATTATCCTTTTGCATTTTAACTGATGATTTTTTTCTATAGGAAAATGCCCACTTTTATGCTGCAGATATGATTATATCAGCAATGGAGAAAATGAAGTGTAACATCCTGAGTCACCAGCACACAGAGAACTGGAGTACAGAAGAAGCCGGTGGGTCACTTGGGAATGATCAAAGTGACTCTGAAGTGACCTTTTATACCAATATAAAGCAGGAATCTGGGTCTTCCACTTTTTCAAACAGTGGCTATGAAGGCAAGTGGGGAAAATATGAGAAAGCTTTATGCTGTAATCTCTACACATATTTGTCTCCTCTGTCAAATCTGGAATACATCTTTAAATCCTTTGTCTAAAATTTCTGAAATAACCTACTAATATATTATCCTCATCATTTGTGCCATTTGGTCTTGGGATCGGTTAGTATGCTCCGACAATCAATGTGTTGTTGTTTTTCTTGGACTTCATCCTAATTTTTCTTTTGGCTATGACTGAAGTTTTCCATCTTCCTTTGCTTTCTGTCAACATAGCATTCTCCTGACTCTTCTTCCTTTCCAAGTCCTCTTTCATTCACTCCACAAACACGGAGCCTGAGAAGTGCTGGGTGCTGGGCATCTCCAGGCAACAAAATGTGCTCCTTCCCTCCAGGAGCTCTCGTGGTGGAGCCTGGCTGTGTGGGATCACTGGGTGATAGGCAGGGACCCAGGGCAGCGGGTCTCAGAGTAGAAGGAGCTCCAGGGAGTTCTTCCTGGAGGGGAGGATACCTAAGCCGAGAACTGAAGACAGGGTTTGTCATTTTCTTACCATTTCTTAAGTGTGAGTCCTGCTTCGGTCCTAGATTCTTCTCTTTCTACCCAGAGATTTTATCCACTGCAACATCTTTTCATTATTCCCTCTCTGTTGACATATCTCAAATCTGTGTTTTCAGTCCTGCAACTCTTTACATGTGCTTGCTCAATATGGCTGGGACTTGTGGAACACGTACACCCGAATGGCCTCCCAGGATCTCTAGCTTAACACGTCTAAACCAGTCATCTCTCTTTTATTTGCTCACAAGCCCCTTTCTTAAAAAAGTAAGAAGAAGAAGAAAAAAAGATTAAAAACGAATGCTTGCTTTTCTTTTTGACGTTCTTTACCTGCATTTTAACCAGGACCCTTTCAGGAGGGAAGTACTCACTCCCCATAGTGCACATGTAACACAATGCCTGCCATAAAATAGGTGTGTAACAAATTGTTGAATCCACTACCTGGCTCAAGTTAAAAAGGAACATTATTTAGAAAGTATATAGAGCATCCTCACTGAACCCAGTGATGGGAAATATAAAACTGACCAGTAAAAAGGCAGCTTTGGCATCTGTATTTTCTGGGGCAACAAAATGCAATTGCTACTCTTCATGCATGCAGTTGCTTCATTCCCCTTTCCACAGCCTGACTTCTTCACGCCTACCCAGCTCTCAGCCCTTGTTTCTGTCTGCCATATCCTTGATTTCTCAGTCAGGGCCTCACAGCTCAGCCTAGTCTTGCTGGATCCCAAGTCTAGGTTACCAGGAAGAGCATGTGGTGGCACCTGCTTTGATTAGGTGCCCACAGCTGGTCAGCTAGTTGTGTGACCAGTTGGGCCAGGGAATGCAATATAGATTATCATCCCCTCTGAGGCCACCAGTGGAGAGAAAAGGCACGTGGTTCGTATTTCAGCACACTATTGTTTTTCTTTAATATTTTTTTTTATTGATTTCAGTGAGGAAGGGAGGGGAAAAAGGAGAGAGAGAAATATCAATGATGAGAGAGAATCATTGATTGGCTGCCTCCTGTATGCCCTGCCCTGGGGACTGAGCCAGCAACCAGGCATGTGCCCTCGATCAGACTCAAACCAGGGACCCTTCAGTCTGCAGGCTGACACTCTATCTACTGAACCAAACCAACCAGGGTTCAGCATACTATCTTTGACTTTTTCTTCTTTCTTGTGCCTGTACCCCTGTCCAGTTTCTAGTTAGTGAACAAATCAATCCTGACTTCTCAGTAATAGTGACATCCCCTCCATCCATTCTTCATTCCTGCCTTTTACCTAAACCACTGCAGCAACCCTCTGGCCAGTTATTTGGTAAGAACTGCATTTAGGTCCTCCATATGTATCTGCTGCCTTTAATTTTCTCCCTTTGCTTTCAAACTCTTTTCCCTTATTGTTGACCCTACATACATCTGTCTCTCTAGTCCTCTAAAATGGCCTGCTGATTTTGTTCCACATTTAATCCTGGGATTTTTAGCCTTCTGGGAACCAACTTCTTCCTACCTTCTCGCCAGGCATATCCTGCCATTTCTGTCATACCCTAGGCTTCAGTTACACTAGCCTGTTATGCTTGTTTGTAGACATTTCTCATAAGTTCCGGCCTCCCTCCCTTTACTTCAGCAAGGCTCTCTTGGAACATACATCAGTTCCTTCATCATTCCCATTCTTTCAAAGCAGTTTTTTGTGTTTTTCTTTTTTGCCACCAGCACTGTGATGTATTCCCTGATTTTTATCAGGAGAGGAGTACCATTCATATGGGGTGAAACATAAGTTTTTCTCTGAAATGCTCTCTAATTGTCTAGTCTCATGTCTCCCCTGGAGTTGTGCAATGTGGAGCTCACCTCTGAACTTCTTAAAACACACAACTGTGTTTCTTTAAATTCTTTGATAGAGGAGATTTATCTTATTTGTATTTGCATTCAGCATAGTGCCTTGTTTGAAATAGATATTTTATAAACATATCTATTATAAAATGGTTGAATACTAATGTTTAGACAAAATTTTAAAAAAATATATGTTAAGAAATTTAAAAATATTTCTACCATCCAAATAAAATATTTATCTTTTGCTAGTATTAAGTATCATTCTTTTTAAATTTCTTTATTATTCTTATTTTTTATCTCTCATTTTCGCCCCCTCCATCCAACCCCTGCCCCACCCCAGGCCTTCCCCAAACTATTATATGTGTCCATGACTTATGAATATATGTATATATGTTCTTTCGTTAATTTATTCCTGTCCCCTCCCAACTCCACCATGAGCTGAGTGGCCTGGGTCCTGAGAATGTTCCTGGGACCTAGGCCACTTGGCGCCTGCATATGCAAAATAACCTTCCATCTTTGTTGCGTTAATTTGCATACTAACTCCAGATTGGCTGGTGGGTGTTGCGGAGGTATGGTCAATTTGAATCTTTTTCTTTTATTAGTGTAGATAGTACTGGAAGTTCTAGCCATAACTATCAGACAAGAAGAAGAAATAAAAGGCATTCAAATTGGAAAGAAGGAAGTAAAACTGTCATAATTTGCAGATGACATGATATTGTATACAGGAAATCCTAAAGACTCCACCAAAAAAACCTACTAGATTTAATAAATAAATTCTGCAAAATAGCAAGATAAAAATTAACACCCAGAAATCAATGGCATTTTTATACACCAGTAATGAACCCTCAGAAAGGGAAAGTAAAAAAAAAAAAAAAAAAAAAAAAAATATATATATATATATATATATATATATATATATATATATACCATTTACAATGACAACAAATGAAAATAAGATACCTTAGAATAAACATAACCAATGAGGTAAGAGACTTGTATTCAGAAAACTATGGAACTTTAAAAATTGAAATAGAGGAAAATATAAACAAGTAAAAGCATATACCATCTTCATGGATTAGAAGAATTAATATCATTAAAATGTCCTTTCTACCCAAAGCAATATCCGGAGAATCCCAAAAATACCAATCAGAAAGAATATATTCATGCTTATGATCATGGCAGCACTTCTTACAATAGTTAATATCTGGAAACAGCCCAAGTGCCCATCTGTAAATGAGTAGATAACAAACTGTGGTACATATACATAATGGAATACTATGTGGCTATAAAAAGAAGAATCTCTTACCCTTTGAGACAGCATGGAGGGACCTGTAGAGTATTATGTTAAGCAAAATAAGCCATTTAGACAAAGACAAATTATCACACAATCTCACTTATATGTGGAGTCTAATGAACAAAATAAATTGATGGATAAAATAGGTCCAGCAGTATGGATGCATGGAACAGAATAATAGATGTCTAATGGTTAAGGTGACCAGATATCCTGCTTTTGGTGGGACAGTCCTGATTTTTAACAATTTGTCCCGCGTCCCAATTTTTTTTTTTATATATACATAATGAAATTTTATTCAGACTTAAAAAAGAAGGAAATTCTGACATATACTACAATATGGATAAATCTTGAGGACATTATGCTAAGTGAAATAAGCCAGCTACTAAAAGACAAGTACTGCATAATTTCATTTATGTGAAGTTCCTAGAATAGTAAAATTCATAGGGACAGATAGTAGTCAAATTTCTAGGCTCCTAGTGCTAGAGGGAGTCAAGGAGGGAGGCATGAGGAGTTGTGTAATGGATATAGATTTTCAGTTTTGCAAGAGGAAAGATTTCTGGAGATTGGTTGCAGAAAAATGTGAATGTATTTAACACTGACGCGGGACAAATTGTTAAAAGTTGGGACTGTCCCACCAAAAGCGGGACGTCTGGTCACCTTACATTATGGTGATAGATGATACTCCATGAGGTAGGTCAGTTCTTTAAATTGCAAGTTGGGCCCTGCCAGCATGGCTCAGTGGTTGAGCGTTGACCTATTAACTAGGAGATTCCCGTTCAGGGTACATGCCCGAGATGTAAACTCGATCACCTTTGTGGAGCATGCAGGAGGCTGCTGGTCAATGATTCTCTTATCATTGATGTTTCTATCTCTCTCTCTCTATCACTAACCTGAAATCAATAAAAATATTTAAATTGTAGTTTGGTCATGAGAGCATTAAATTAAAAAAATGAAAAAAGAAAAGAAAGTATCAGTGTGCACCTCAGTGAGGTTAATGAGGATGAACAAGGAGTGCTTCTTGGAACTTTAACAGTTAAATATATTTTTGAGCTTACACTAAGTTGCAATGTAAATTGTATACTACTGTAGATCATGGTCAAAAGATTGTGGGAAAGACAGAAATAGGTGACATTGTCCCCATTTTATCCATGAAGAACCCAAAGCTGAGAAGTTTATTGCCTATTGTCACCTGGCAGGGAAGGGGCAATGCAACGTTAAACTGGTCAGTCAACTATGAAGCTCACTCATATAACTTCTCTGTAACATATGAACTACATTATTTCCCTAAACACCTGTGTTCATTTCTATGTTTATTCAAGTGAGTTTAGTTTTACAGTAATTATATGCTCATGTTAATGTAATTACATCACTAATCTATCTATCTATCTATCTATCTATCTATCTGTCTGTCTGTCTGTCTGTCTGTCTGTCTGTCTATCTGTCTATCTGTCTATCTGTCTATCTATCTGACTAAGTGTCCATCTGTCTGACTGGTAACTATGATGCACACTGGCCACCAGGAGGCAGATGATCAATGCAGAAGCTGCCGTCATGCACACTAACCGTTTAAAAATAAATGGCGTGGCACCCACAAAGCAACACTCAGCTTCCCCCAAGTAGGTCACAGGCCCTGCCACCACCCTGGAGTAACACCCCACCAAATTGCAGCCAACGCTGCCAAGACCCCATGGGACAAAATGCGGCCCATAGCCCAGCCCAGCCCAACCTGGAAATGGTCACTGTGGTTGCTGGGTAATGACATCACATAGCAGCACTCCACTTCCTCTCCCTAGCAACTAGCCTCCTTGGAGTTTCTTTAGCTTAGGAACCCGACTTGTTTTATAGCCAGGTGCAAACATTTTACACTTCAACCAAATGTTTGTGAAGCTTTTTCACGAGCCTCATCTAATTTGATCTTCACAGAAGTCCTCCAGTAGGTAGATAGGAGACTCGGTAGAATCCTATTTTCTTTTCATTAGCAAGATGTGAATAGTGTTATTAAAATATTTCTTCTAATTAATTTCCTTTCAATGTGCACAAATACATGCACTGGGACACTAGTATGATTATATTATCAGTATTTCATGTCCATTTTTTCAAGTTGTTATGACTTTCACATTTTTCAATGATGTTATTTCTTGAGTTAACAGAGTGATTTACAATATCAATTCCCTATTATTTGGCATTAAAGTAGCTTTCAGTATTTTAAATAGACTACAAATAGCTCCTTAGTGATCAAAGCCTTCTTCTTCCTTTAAAAAAAAAAAGTATTTATTGGTTTGAGAGAGAAAGAAGAGGTAGAGAGATTGATTAGTTGTTCTACTTATTTATGCATTCATTGGTTGGCCTGACTGGAGATAGAACCCGCAACCTTGGTGTATTGGGATGACACCCTAACCAATTTAGCTATCCAACCAGGTCCTAAAGTCTTCCTCTTTCATTAAATTTTCTTTTTAATGACATTCTTATGACAATTCCCCAGACTGGTATTAGGGATAGAAAAGTATGTACATATTTCATTAGTTTTCTATAGTTGCTGTGACAAAAATACCATGAACTAGGTATCTTAAAATAATAGAAACTCAGTCTCACATTTATGGAGTCCAGAAGTCAGAAATGAAGTTGTGGGAAGTTCTGGAGACTCTGAGGGAGAATCTGCTTCATGTTTCTCTCCCAGCTTCAGATTGTTGCTGGTAATCTTGATGTTCCATCACCCCATTCTCTGCCTCCATTTTCACATGGTGTTCTCTCTATATATATCTGTGTCTGTATCCAAATTTCCCTCTTTCTATGACCAGTCATTGGATTTAGGGTTTATTCTACTCCAGTAGGACCTCATCTTGTAAAGACTCTATTTCCAAATAAGGCTACATTCACTGTTTCTGGGTAGACATGATTTTTTTTTTTTGGGGGGGGGGGTGCGGGGAGGGATGCCACACTATTCAACTCAGTATAGTATTTATGTCACCTATATTTTTCCCTCACTGTGAAGCTGAATTTTTCCTCCCACTACCATTTTTTAAATCTTTGTATTATTGGAATTTTCAAGCATATGTAACAGCAGGCAATTACTTTTTATGAACTCCCACAGACTCAGTGTGTTTTACTTAGTGATAGTGAATATTAGAACAACACAAAAATAGATCCTGTGTGGTAGGCAGTTAGACATGAGCAAAGCAAGGGCGATGGGTCAGGTGCTACAGAAGGTCACCAGGGTGAAAAGCTCTGGATGTCTAGCAAAGGATAAAACTGGGAAAACAAGAACCTCATCCCCAGAGTGACCTTTTCTTCCCTATCATATTGTTGGTCATGCTGTTTAGACCCTCTGTCTGACCTTTATAACACCGGTCATGCGGTTCGGACCCTCCCCTGACCTATCCTCCCATGGAATGTTTCTAGGCATATAGCTAGACCTCCACCCCTTAGAAGGAAAACAAACAAGGGGGGCAGAGAATAGCCCTTAAGCAGAAAGCTCCCAGGACAACTAGGTTTTGACCTGCATCAAATTCATCTAGGCCTCAGTTGCATTTCAGCACTAGGCCCAGAGAAGCAGCAAAACCAGACAAGCAACCCAGTGTCTTTCCCCACCCCGTCCACTCTTCTTCTCCCAAGGCTTATTTTCCTGATTTCTCTCTTTCTCCTAAGCTCCATGGATCTTCTTTTCCCCCTATAACTTGTTTCCTGAGCTCATTTTTTCTATAGCTTACTTCTTCTAACTCTATGACTTTCTAAATAAATTTTCTCATGTAATTTGAGTCTTGGCTCTGAATTCTTTCCTAACCAGAACTCCATTTCTGAAGCTGCTAAATAAAAGCTTGTTCTGACTCCACTGAGCTAACACCTGGTGCCATTTTCGCTGCTTTTTAAAAAAAATTATTGAAGCTGAATTTTAAAATTCTTAGCCTTTTTTATTCCTAACTTCTACATAATTGCATGTTACAGATTGTGTACTTTTTTTCTTGTTGGTGAAACCCCCTTTTTTTTCTTTCTCAAGGTTGTGCTGTATTACAAGTCAGCCCAATTGTTAAAACACCTACTTACTGTGATGTGGTGAAAGAGGCCTGCAAATGTGACTTTGATAAATTTGTTATTGTAGGTAAGATTTAGATCCCTCCCTCCTGCCCCCTAAAATCTCCCCCTCTCCCTTCCTCTCTGAAATCAATAAAAATATTTTTAAATGCTATTTTTTTTTTAAAAAGAAAAGAAAAAAATAGAAAAGAAGCATCAATGATGAGAGAGAATCATTGGTTGGCTGCCTCCTGCACATAGCCCACTGGGGATTGAACCCACAACCCAGGCATGTGCTCTGACTGGGAATCAAACCATGGCCTCCTGGTTAATAGGTGGACAGTCAATCACTGAGCCACACTGGCCAGGCCAGGTGAGTATATTTTAAAATTCCATCTTTGGTTATTAGCTGTAGCTCATAAGAGAAACTCAAAGGACACTGATGTATGAAGATGCTGAGTAAGTGGTTCTTTCTGAAATGCAGAGAGCTATTTTTGTGTGCTTATAAAATTGACTGTGATTAAGTGAAACAGACTAAAAGACCTCTCTACTCTTTCTTCTATTTTCCCACAGAACTTGGAGAGTCCAGCAATACCACAGAAACCTATGGATGTTCCTGTAGCTCCTCCAAGAGGTATCTCCCTTTCGTGTCCTCCTTCACATAGGCCCCTGGGCCATCACCTCTGAGATACTGAACTCTAGGCCTCTGTGAACATCTCAGGCCAAGTTCAGTCCATTGAAATGCAATAATCACCACTCAAGTTTCTACAATGTTTTTATAGTGTTTAATAGACTTTTGTATACATTCTTATGTAATTTTCATGGATAGGCTTTTTTAAAACCCCATTTTAAAGATGTAAAAACTAAGGTTCAGACAGGGTGTGCCTCGGGGCACAATACTGTTAAATAACAGAGGTAGGATTTGAACTTAGATCTTCTAACTCTAAATCTAGTGCTCTTTTCACTATACTCTCAGTCTTGGTACCCTCAATAAATAAAGCTGCTCTGTTGAACATGGAGGAATTGTGTTGAATAGGATAACTGTTGGTACCATGGTTGATGCATGGTCTCTTATAAGATGTCTCCTCTGAGTTTTTTTGGAGAGGGAAAGATAGTTGAAAATCTGAAGAAGAACCTTATACTCCCCATGAATATAATTGTTAATTTTTTGCATCTCTTACATTTCAGTGTTATTTATGAGCCACACTTCAATTCAGCTGAGCTAATAGCCAAAGAATTGTACCAAGTATTCCGTAAGTCCTGGATGCTGTCAGAAGTTAATTATCAGCTGGCCGTTTCCCTGAATGCATCTGGCTCCATAGTAAGTATCAAAAAAGGTTGACTTTGAAAGTTGAATTTTAAGAAGTTTCATAAATTCATATTTTGCCTGATATTCACTTTAGACATGTATGTGTTTCCTTTATAGTCCCTGGATGTTAGGGGAGGGATTGAAAAAAAGGATGAATCTGAAATTTATTGAGTATTTATTATGCACCAGAAATTCACATTTAAATTCTCATGTGTTCTATTAGGCAGATGCTATTATCATTTTTATATTAAGACATCCAGCAGGGCTTGTCAGTGTAGGTAAAATTTAGATACTCCTTGGATATGACTAGATCATTCCTTCCTGACCCCTTTCTATATCATCTCTCTTTCTTCCTCTCTGAAATCAATAAAAAAATTTTTAAAATCTTATTGTAGGTAAGATTTAGATACTCTTCATGTACCAGCAGGAGTTATGCCTCATGTTGCCTAATTTGAAAATCCAGGCTGATTCTGAGGCACCAGATGTCTGACTGGTGGTGTCAGACCAAACCTGGGGTCAGCAACCTCAGTACTTGGGTTCTGGCTAGGAAAGAATTCAGAGCCAAGACCCAAACGTTTTTGGAGTGAATTACTGAAGTAGAAAAAGTCATTTCTAGAAGAAATGGGTTTAGGAAACAAGTTATAGAGGTAAAGGAAGGGCCCCTGGAGCTTGGGAGTGAGGAAGCTAACAGTAATGTGCCTGGGGCAGGGAGAAGGAAGGGAAAGGGAAATGAAAAGGCACAGGGAAAGCATGCTCTCCTTCTCCCTCCCTGGAGTCCCTGGAGTCCCTGGAACTGGCAGGGTCCTCTGTCCTAAGGGTTTTAAGAGTGGAGATTTTAGGGGCGTCCCAGGGGAAGATCTCAATAAAATATTCAGCAGTTTTCTAGGTGTGTCCTTTCAGGGTCTAGGTTTCCACTGATTGATTGGCAAGGACCAGACAAGGGTGATTATTCAGTGCACCGGATCCTGAGGACAGTTGTGACTGGTTTTGTTGCTTCTCTGGGCCTGGAGCTGTAATACAACTTTAGGCATAAATGTTATCTCTAGGGAGGGAAGGCCAGAAGGTACTGTTCCAAATCTCATGACCAGATATATGGTAGGGCAGGAAAGGTCACCCTGGGGACAAGGTCCCACCCTACAATTGTCCTTTGTAAGGCACCTGGGGCTTCCCACCCCGGTGACCTTCTGTACCTGGCCCTCCGTCCTGCTCTGCTCATGTCTGTCTAACTGCCGACCACAGTTCCCTGTAGAACATTCTGCTCTCTGGCAGCATGCAGCTCATGGGAACAGAGAACTTTGTGGCAAAAGCTAAAATAGAAGTAGCCCTCCTATACTCAATAAATTTAATAAAATTAAATAAACAAATAAACTAGGGGTAGGCATAAATCTCTGGAAATGCAAGGGAGGCAAAGGCCAGCTGGAGCAAAAATGACATTGAGGTGCATGAGGTGTTTATGGAGCAGTGATTTGGTGTGGTTGGATAGCATGTGTTTGCCTGTCTGTGTGTGTTGGTGGGTTGGGGGAGGGCAATGGTGATCCTGGGAAATAAGGCTTGAATACTAGTAGCCCAACTATGGAGGACCTAGAATGCTGATTTGAGGAGTTTGGATTTTAAATGATAATGGAAATTTAATGGTTTGGAGAGGAGCCAAGCAGGGGAATGGTCTTGAAAGATGTTTCTGGGGAAGTCTAACAACCACAGGAGGTTCTGATTGGCAGCATCTATCAGCCTATTTATTAAAATGCATTCTATAAAAGCATTGCAGGTCACAGTGACCTACTTGCAGTAATGTGAAGCTTAGAAACAAATGAAATACTAAAATAACTAAGAAACAAAGAAAAGTGACCTCAGCTGGGTGGTGTTTTAAACAGTTTTTCTCCAGATGGCTTCAGATACATGAAGGGCTCTTGCTATGTCTTTCAGTTCAGTTGAAAGCAGTTTTAATTTATCATGGTAAGTTTTAATGTTGGAAACACATTTGAGTGCTCTTTTTAATTTCAGTTCCTGAAATAGGCTTGTTTAGGTTCCTAAATCCTCTCTTGTTATGCAGGTTGTAAATGAAGAGCATATCCGAAAAGACTTTGAATCCAGTGTGGATTTTAAATTTAACTCAAGGATCAGAGGGACAGAAGACTGGGCACCCCCTAGATTTCAAGTCATAGTTAATGTTCATCCACCACAGAAGTAAGTTGGGGTTGCTGTTTGGGCTTCCAGTCCAGTTAAAACAAGTTAGTTCTGTTACCCATGTTGGGGTTCTTGGGTTCCCCAATATAGAAATTGAGAATAAACCCCTGAGAAATTATCAGACATGTCAACATAGAAAACAACCAAACCTATAGAAAATTTGGAGTTTATTTGAACCAAACTGTTGACAATTGCCAGAGTGCAAATATCAGTGGATTGAGATAATACTTCAGAGAATGGCAGTTTTGCACCTTATTTTATACATTACAATCAAAAGAGAAGACTCAAGTGGGTTACATGAAATCCATTGGTGATAGATTAGGGAGGTGGGAGAAAGCAAACCAGGGGAAACCGATGGTATTGAATAAAATGTAAAATGATACTCATACATCTTTTACACAGGTGGGTATAGGAGAGTTAACAGTTAACAATTAACATGCTAACAATAACAATGAGAGGATTTATGGCCTGTTCCCTGGTGTATTGGTTGTGTCTGAGGGGGTCTGGAAGAACTGGGGGAGTTACCCTGACATTTCCAAAGGTCTGTTATCATAGATGCAAAAGCCTTAGTTAAGGTAAAGATTGACTTTTTTCGGGAAAGAGTCTAGCTTAGGACATGACTACCTGACATAAATTGCTTTTAGTTAAAGTTTTAATTTCAGACCATCCTTTAGGTTTACTTCTGAGTTTGCAAGGCCACTATGCAGACTTTTCCTGGGCTTGTCAGGTTAGCATGTGGCCCCTTTTTATCCACAGGCGGATTTTATTAAGCTTATGCTGGAGCACAAGGGAGGCACACAGAGTAAAGGAAGGTAATCTGAACTGGCTCTGAATGCTGATTCTGCTTGACTCCTTTTACGAGCTGGGGACAAAGCAAGCTTGTGCAGAAAGGCAGTTCTTCTTGAACAAGGTGGGCTTCTTGAAAAAGGCAGGCTTGCAAAATTTCTATTTCAGGGTGGGGTGACTTCACTTTCCAGCTGAGTTGCCTGGTAACTATGTTCCCACCTGTACTGTGAGGGTAAGATGGCAGACTGCTCACTACCACCACCTTAGGAAAGTCATATAGCAGTCAAACCTTGATCAACTGAGTGTGGTCAGTAGTTACAACACCTGTAAGAAAGAAAGCAGGCAGTTATAAGGAAATAAAATCAGCTACTTCTGCATTTTTAAGTAGGGAGTGGAGGAATGGCAACATTCTTGCAGTCAGCTCATTTGGTGTTCCTCTGGCCACTTGTCTTCCTACCTACCCGGTATTTTTTCCATTCCTAGGCCCAAGTCCCTAAACTGTCTCAGTTCCTACCTGACTCTGGAAGTATGAAAAGGAAAAAAATAATACACTTAGGGATAAAGAAAAACTTTTTTTTAAGGAAAAGGTAGGTTGGGCATATTTTTCTGAGTTAGGCACCTGGCTTTTGAGGGGCTCTATAAGTTTTGACAAGTTGAGAATTTAACTATGTGTCTTTTAATTATGAACATTACCTAGCAACTGAAATAGGCTTAAAGGGACTATTTTAATTGTCTAGTATTGAACCTGAAAAATTGAAAAATCATATACAATAATTTTAAAAGATTGGATCCTTCTATTAAATATATATATATATATATATATATATATATATATATATATATATATATATATAGAGAGAGAGAGAGAGAGAGAGAGAGAGAGAGAGAAAGAGAGAGAGAGAGAGAATGTAAATTAGGCTGGGACATCATAATGGTCACAACCAGCTCAGGAGGAGGGGCCAGGCGTGGGCCCAGTGCCTGAGAGAACAACAGACAAGGCTGACCATGCCCTGGCCCTGGAGCCAGAGAGAACAACACGCAGGAGGGCTGGAATGGAGATGCAAACCCGCAGGGGGGCCTGACCCTCAGCAGCCTCATGGCTGGGGTGCCCAGCAATCCTGCATCTGTGCAGGAGCTGCAGAGGAAACACCTTTTCTGACCGCTCATTGGCTAAGCTTGTGGTATGCCACTCACTTGGGTAATAAGAATTCAAGAAGGTGATCTAGGGCTTTTCCACCGCACTCCTGGAGGAAAAAACGAAGGTCCCCTGCTGGAGGGGCTAAGGAATGTCATATCCTGCCCTAGCCAGTTTTGCTCAGTGGATAGAGCCTCAACCTGCGGACTGCAGGGTCCGGATCTGATTCTGATCAAGGGCATGTACCTAGGTTTCAGGCTCCTCCCTGACCAGGGCCCAGGTCAGGGCTCATTCAGGAGGCAACCAATCAAAGTATGCCTTTCACATTGATATTTTTCTCTGTCTTTTCCTCTCTCTTCCACATTCTCTAAAAATCAATAGAAAAATATCCTCAGGTGAGGATAGAAAAAAAGAAAAGAAAAGAAAAGAAAAGAAATGTTCTATGAAAGAGACATCTTGAAAATGCCTAAATAAAGTTGTCATTTTTTCATGGTGAAGGGACTGGAGTCCATGTTGATGAAAACACCTTGGTGGCTGCAGTGGCCAGCAGTGGCAGCAGCAGTGGAGTGATGGGGCTGGCACCTTTCCCTGATCAGCCCGGTTGCCTCCCGAAGAGGGAGGCCAGACTATGGCTTAGGCCTACTCCCTATTGGCAACAGGTCTAAGCCATCAGTAGGACATCCCCTGAAGGTTCCTGGACTGTGAGAGGGGACAGACTGGGCTGAGGAACACCCCCCCCCCACACACACACACACACAAATTTCGTGCACTGGGCCTCTAGCATAAAATAAAAATCAATGATTTTTTTAAAAAAAAATTTAATCTCGAGAAGAGGTCCTATTAAAAAAAGGCACATGGGTAGGGTTCTGCATATATTTGCCATACTGACTCTAAACTATAATAAAATTTTATAATTCATTTTGTATTTCTAAATCACATGTGAAGTGATGGCACCAACAGTCAATAGAAAACACTTCACCAAATTGTTTCTCACCAGAAATATATAGTTTTGTCTTACATTATCCTTATTTGTCTAAATTTCTTTGGATCCATTTATGAACTTCCCAAGTACATCACCTCTTGATGTCTGGTCTACCAAAACTTTCTCCCTGCATTGCCTGTTTCTAGTTCTCTCTGGAGAGAGGATCCTGTGCATACACAGTGTGAAGTCTCTAAAGAACTTGGTGGAAGTGTTATTTGTCATACTAACTTCTGTTTTAATGGCCCAGGGATTTCAACTAGAGAACTATATTGAGTAATTCTATTTCTTCACAAATGGAAAATGATAAAATTAAGGCCCAAGCCAAGGAAAGTATCAGGATATCAGTTTATTTTTCAATAAGTGAAAACTGCTCCATTGGCCTTTTCTGACATGTAACTGTCATTGTTTTCTATTCCTAGGAGGGATCTTGTAGTAGCAGCCCAGAATTTTTTCTGTGCTGGCTGTGGAACTCCAATAGAACCTAGTAAGTATGGAAATGGACTGACTGCTTATTATGTGATGACAGGGCAGAGAATAACAAAACTGGGCACTGCATTGATTATGTGAAAGAAGTTAGTATGAGAATTTCCATAAAGGGGCCATTGTGACCTACAGGGTTATGTGACTGGCTTTTCATGTGACAGGGTTATGTGACTGGCGAACTCATCTCCTGGTTCGCTTCCCATCTGGTCCTTGATGGTCTCCCTGCTGGTCCTTGAAGGTGGCAGGCTCACTCCTGACTTGAAATGGCAGACATTCCCAAAGTTGGTTTCCTTACTTTCTTCAAATCTTTGCTCAAAAGCCATGATGTTTTCCCTGGCTGCCCCATTGAAAATGTTCACCTTGCCACAAACATACATGTGTATGCATTATATTACTCTTCCTTCCTATTCCAGCACATATCTGTCTAAAATGCCTTCTTAGATTTTACTGGTTTTCCTTATTTTTTACTTTCTTCCCCCTCACTAGATTCTAGGTTCCATTTGGTCAAATGTTGTCTCTTTTATTCATTGCTTTAGCCCCTGCTCCTACAAGATGCCTGGTACACAGCTCAAAAGATAAATTTGTTGAATAATTGAACAGCTTACCAAGGAGCTAGCCAAACTCCTCTGAGAGGGTTTAAGGGGATCATCTTGGGTTAGCTGAGGCCTAGAAAATCAAGGTTCACCCAGTCAGAAATGCAAGTTGCCCACTTGACACTAGGAATCACTTGTTCTGCTGTGAGTGTTTCCTTAGGTCTGACCCCCAGAAAGACTGGGAAGAGTAGCTTTATGGGAAAGGATTCCCTTGATTTTGATAGGCAGACTTTGAGGACCTCCCCCTCAAGAAATAAAAATAGAAATCAGAAGTCTATCTGGACATTCTTCAACAATGTTGAATGATCATTCCAGCTATGCATCACAGTTGTAACTAATTTTATTTAAATAACTTATCTTCCCAGTCTAGTAGGAATCATGTATATGTGATTAACCACTGTATTCTGGTGCCTTAGTAAGTATTGAATGCATGAATCAGAAACTATGAACACATGACTATGATTCCACCAACTTTTCAAGTACTTCCCTAAATTTATTCAAATATGAAGTAGCTTTCCCACACTGTTGATATAGACCTTCCTTTATAGTCATCAGCCAAGAAAATAACAAGAACAATGCATGAAAAGAGAGAGAGAGAGAGAGAGAGAGAGAGAGAGAGAGAGAGAGAGAGAGAGAGAGAGAGAAAGAGTCAAGAATGCAGTGTAATTTACAGCAAGGGAAATATATCTGAGCTTGGGGGTGGGTAGAGTGAGAATTTTTGTAAGGAAGTGATTATCCCCAGAAGAGTGTGTTGGGGGAGGGGTGTGGAGAGTCACCGTGTGCAAAGGGCTTGATGCTATTGCAAAGTAATTATGTGTTACTAGATACTATGAATAAGAGGAGAAAACATGCTACAGGGATAGGCAGTGCACAGACCCTATCAACCTTACTGTATAAACAATTTTGGACTTTTCCTGTGAAACTCCTATAGTTCTTATGCTACCAGAGAGCCCCCTGAGTTGGAGGAGTGGTCTCTCCCTTCCTTAGCTCTTGAGAAGGAAGTCAAATGAGTGACAAACAGCAGTTTGTCACTATTCTTCTTAAATAAATTTGCTTGAAGCAAAGCAAGCAAATTTATTTAAGAAGAAAAGTAAGTGAATTTTCTAAGGAAGCAAAGCAAGTGAATTTATTAAGAATACAGTTGGCATAAAGATAAGTGGGCAACTCAGCTAATCAGAGCACCTTGCCTGGTGGGGATTCAAGAGGTTTTATGCCCTCCAACCTATAGGTTTCAAAGCTCTGCTGCCAAATATTTTGGGAAGGAGACTAAGTTTCAAAGTCTCCTTCTATATTGTTGTGGCTTATCTCAGAATGTTTATACATACACCTAGACAACTTATTTAGCAAGACCTAAAACAGCTGACTTCTTTGTTTAGTGGGTGACATAACCTCTCCTTTTTCTCTTCTTTCCCCCTCCTGTTCTAGCACCTATCTTTCCAGCCTAATATCCCCCAAGTGATACCATCCCAAAGTTTTGGGGGTTTTGTTATTTGTCCCTCATACTTTATCTGTCCTTGTGTTTATCTGGCACAAATGACATTATTTTGGTCTTTGTTCTCTATTTTCTGAAGCCAGGGTGATTTAAGCTATGTTATCTCTGGTTAGGGAGGAGCTGTCTAAATAATTTGCTCTCAAGTGTCCTTGATTGGGGAAGATAAGGTCATGTGATTCACAGTCTGGCTGCAAGCTGCCCAAACTGTTAGGCCTTGTTTAATTTTCTTGTCTCAATTTTCCCATTCCAATTGCCCAGAATTTTTTCCTAGCTTCTTACTATCCTGCCACACTTAGGGCAATTTTTAAAAAACTTTTTATTTTGAGATAATTTTAGACTTACATATAGTTACAAAAATAGTACAGATATCCCATATACTCTTTATCTAGCTTCCCCTAATGCTAACATAATCATAGTATAATTATTAAATGTGGGATATAAGTATTGTTACCATCCCATTAAATAACTACACAGACTTTATTCAGATTTAAATAATAGTCTTTATTTGTTCTAGGGTCTAATCAAGAATGATACATTTGAATTTAGTTGTCATATCTCCTTAGTCTCCTCTAATCTCATACTCACAGAGACACTTAAAGATCAAGTAGCAGACAACATGACATTTTACCCTTTAATACTTAAGCATCCTATATAATAAAGAGGGAATATGCTAATTGGCTGTCACTCCCTCAAAGATGGTGGTGCCAAGTCCCCTCAGCCCTGTCGGGGTGGCAGGCACAAGGCACTAGTAGGCCTGCCCCCAGGTGGGCCCAGCTGCTCTGTGCACCTACCTCTGGAGTTCCCTAGTTCCCTCAATTCCCCAGCTGCCCAGGGCCAGTTCAAGGTACAGGCAAGTCTCAGATGGCAGCTGCCCAGCTGCCCATGGCTGGCCCAAGGCACAGGCAAGCCTTGGATGGTGGCTGTCCAGCTCCCCTGAGCCACCTGAGGCTCAGGTAAGCAGGGCTGGCCAAGGCTAGTGCTGCTGGCAGTGGCAGCAGCAGAGGTGTGATGGGAGCATTGCCTTCCCCTGATCTCTGGGTCACCTCCCACCCCTGAGGGTTCCCGGATTGTGAGAGGGGGCAGGCCAGACTGAGGAATCCCTCTCCCTTCCAATAAACAGAGGCAGTACAGCCCTACAGGCCTCTAGTATTTTAATACTAAGAATTATGGGTAGTTATCAGACCAAAGAAAATAACAATTGTCAATATTATCTAATACTAGTCCATATTCATTGTTGTCCTTAAGTTGTCATTTATAACTAATTTTTCTATACAGGACTCAACCAAGTTTGATCCACTGAATTTAGCTAGTATTTCTCGTTAGTCAATTTTCTTTTAGAATTGCAGTATCCATGATAGTAGCCATTAGCCCCTGTAGCTACTTAAAGTTAAATTAAAATTTATTTAATTTGGGGGAGTGACATCAGAGGAATGGCAGTGTAAGGGCACATCCTCTCTTCCTAACATTTCAACAAAATAACCACCTATAATTCAACAAAGAAGTACCTGCTCAACACAGATGCATGCCTGAGAGACCTGCACACTGGAACAACTAAAGTGGACTCCGTGGAATAAGTGGGGAAATGAGAGAAGGGAGGGAAGCTGAATATGGCTACAGTGCAGCTGGGAACTGAGGCAACAGTCATGGGCATTTTCTTCAGCTGGTCTGGACCAACAGAAAGCTAAGCCAGCAAGTGGTTGGCTGTTGGAATAGCCACCAGAGTGACAGCATTGTGTGGTTGCACACACAAACAGTGAGAGAGAGTGTTTGAACCATGGTGGTACCTTCTGAATGAGATCTGAGTTGCATGCATAAGCTGCAAGTCATCAGACACTCTCCTTATAGAGTAGTTCCCTACATAGTCACTCTCCACAGCTGGGCCTGGCTGCCTGCTTACAGGCAAAGAAAGTAGATCACAGAGCCCTACTCTATAAGCAAGAAGAGAGTGGAACCAAATATTCAAACACCTGAAAGAGAGAAATTACCAGCCATGCATATTATATCCAGAAAAATTATCTTTTAAATATGAAGGAGAAATAAGACATTCCCAGACATACAGAAGCTGAGGGATTTTATCACTAGAAAACCTTGATTGCAGGAAATGCTCCAGGGAGTTATTCTACCTGAAAAAAAAAGTACATAAGATCGTAACACTACCAGTAGGATTGCCAAAAACTCACAGCATAAACAAGGATAATGTGTGACAATAAAAACATACAAGGAGAAGAGGGACAGGTGTGGACAAGCAAAGGAAGATGAAGACTATATTCTAAAGGGAAAAAAATATGGTGTATATGCAACTTCACTTTTTATAAAACTAATGGCAACCACACACAGAAATTCCCCAAACAAGACAAAGCTTAAAGAAAGAAGAAACAGAGGAAAGATATATGGAATACCACAAAACAAAAACGACAGATAGAAGCATAAAGGAAAAGAACCAATGGAGGCACAGAGTTAGCAGAAAAAATTAATTTAAATTTAAAATCCAGTACTTCAGTGATGCTAACTACATTTTAAGTGCTCAATAGCCACATGTGGCTAGTAGATATTATATTAGACAGCACAGATATAGAATATTTCCATCCTCACAGAAAGTTCTATTGATAGCGCTGTCGTAGATTTTTGCTTCCTTTTCCCCGCCCCCCTATAATTCTGACTTTTCCTAAAATGAGAACAATTGTGGTTTAGAGCAGGGTTTCTTAGCCTTAGTACTATTGATTTTGTCTGGGTTGATGTCTGATGCACTGTTGGATATTTAGCAACATCACTAGCAACTATGCATTGTAACAACCAAAAAGTCTCTATACATTTCCAAATATCCCTTGGTGTAAAAAGTCACTCCTAGTCAAGCACCAGATTTCAGGTCTTTATTTTGTTCTGTTTTAATTAAAGGATTGAAGAAGAAAAAAAAAGATGGACATAATTTATTCTATATTGATAATATAATGCTTAGTATATATTCCATAAAATCTGATGAATGAGTGATTGGGTATTGAAATGTTAGTATTTTAGATGTTAGGGAAAGATGAATTATATCCAGAAAATTTATAGGCCCTTTGTTTTTTTTCTCCCATCTTGCTGAAATGATGGGAGAATCTTGATGGGAAGGAGAAAGGGAAAATTTGATTAAAAATGTATAGTACAAATGAAAAATAAGTGAATACCTCAAATCTTTAAAAAATAATAATAATAAAATAGATAAATAAAAATAAAAATGTATGGTACAGCTGAAACCGGTTTGGCTCAGTGGATAGAGCATTGGCCTCGGTTCGATTCTGGTCAAGGGCACGTACCTTGATTCCGGGCACATCCCCAATGGGGGGTGTGCAAGAGGCAGCTGGTCGATGTATCTCTCTCATCGACGTTTTTAACTCTCTATCCCTCTCAATTCCTCTCTGTGTAAAATCAATAAAATATATTTTTTAAAAAGATGGAGTATTAAAGTATACATTTCAAATTATTTTAAAAAATGTATAGTACAAGAGCCAGGGTATATCTCCTTTTTTGTCCATACTATATAATAAAAAGTTAATATGCAAATCAACCAAGCGGTGGAATGGCCAATCGCTATGACACTCACTGACCACCAGGGGGCAGACATTTAATGCAAGAGCTGCCCCCTGGTGGCCAGTGCACTCCAGAATCTAGGCTCATGGCTGGCAAGTGCAGTGGCGGTGGTGGGAGCCTCTCCTGCCTCTGTGGCAGTGCTAAGGACCCCTCAGGGGCCTAAGCTGGCAGGCTGACATCTCCCGAGGGACGTCCCAGACTGCTTGAGGGCAAACAGGCCAAGCTGAAGGGATCCACCCCTCCTAGTGCATGAATGTCATGCACCAGGCTTCTAGTTTAGTATAAAATGTATTGGAACCCTGTCATAAGCAAAATAATACTCATTATCTGCTACACCAGAGATTTTAATCTGGGTGGGGGAGAATAGATGCAATATAATAGATTTTTCAAAGTTTGAGAACTCAGACATAATTATCAGGTACTTAATAAGTTTTTAACAAATGATTTTTCAACCCTAGAGAGATGTCACATAATTAAGAGTTTAATAATAATGTATGGCCTTGCTAGCATGGCTCAGTGGTTAAGCATCAACCTATGAACCAGAAGATCATGATTTGATTCCAGGTCAGGGCACATGCCTGGGTTGTGGTAGGGGGCATACAGAAGGCAGCTGATCAATGATTCTCTCTCATCATTGATGTTGCTATGTCTCTCTCCCTCTCCCTTCTTCTCTGAAATCAATAAAAATACATTTTTAAAAATAATAGTGTATGTACATATATATGTACTTACAATTATCCTCATTATTCACAAATTCCATATTTATGAATTCGCATGCTCCCTAAAATGTATTTGTAACTCCAAAATCAATGCTTACCATGTTTTATTCATTCACAGATATGCACAAAACACTAAAAAATTTGATTTGCCTGAAATTTGAGTTTCCTGTTGCACACGTTCCCAGCTGAAGTTGAACAAAACAATGCTTTGCCTTTTCCTTTAGTTCATATGTGAACAAGTCCTTTCGACAGTCTATTTAGTACCTTTTAAAAAATATTTTATACTTTTTTTTGGTGGTTTTGCTATTTAAAATGCCCTCAAGCATAGTACTGAGGTGCTGTCTAGTGTTTTTAAGCACAAGAAGGCTGTTTGCCTTACAGAAAAATGTATGTATAAGAGATGTTTCTTTCAGGCAGAGTCACAGTGCTTTTGGCCCTGAATTCAATTATATGAATCAGCAAAATATATTGAATAACATGCTTTTAAACAAAAAAACACAAATAAAACAAATTTTTGTGTTGATCGGTTGATGAAAATGCCTATCCCAGAGACTTATAGGAACTTAACCTTGTATTTCCCTCAGGAGCAGTGCTTTAGTATTCAATTTAGTGTTCAATTCAATTTAGTATTCAATTCAATTGTTTATGGCAACTTTCCAGAACATTAACTACTATAGATAATAAGAATCAAGTATTTATTTGTCTCTATTTAAAAGTCAAACTCTGAGTGTGACGTGGGTGTGAGGATAATCTGTGCAGAGACATTCGTTTTTTGCCCTTCCCATCCATGGACTGTGGCAGATGGGAAGTGGGATGTGATGGCTAAAACCTGGAGCTTCCCAGTCCAGACTTCAGTTGGAGTCCTGCTTGCCTGCTTACTGTTTTGTTGTGTTTTTTTGTTTTGTTTTGTTTTGTTTTGTTTTGTCTGTGGTATGTGGTTTAACCTTACTATATTGTGCATTCATCAGTAAAGTAGGGGAAGCACCAGTCCTCACCTCATAGAGGTTCAAGCACAAACTGATACAGGCATGCGTAAGACATTTAACCAGTGCATGACACAGACTAATTGTTTAATAAAGGTTTGCTTCTGTGGTCACTCAGACCTTGATTATTTGTAAAGTCCTTGTAGGGAAACTATATTCTGAATCTACAGTGTGCTCTGTACTGTGGGAGCTGTTTTGCTTCCATTGTTTCCTTTAATTCTCACAATATCTGTCAACTAATAGGAGTCAAATAGTGAGTGATAAATATGAACCTTGGCTTATGTTAGATAGACCCTACTGTTGAGGAAGGGGCACATAGGAGACTTAACTGAATCTCTGTTTTCTTTCTTCAGGCTGGGTGTTGGGTACCCAGCTATTTGTCATTAGTCTCTGTACCTTTTTCTTGTCAGTATATTTTATTGAAGGTGCTCCCAAGAGCAATGCATGCTTATTTCAGCAAATTAAAAGTGCAAAAAGCAAAAACCCTTCCTCCTACCTTCCAGGAGTGTTAGCTTTTTGGACTGTGCATGCATTCTTTTTTAAAAACAAAATCAAGATCATGTGCTACATACCTGTAACTGAATGTTCACTGCCTGTGCTCTTCCATGTATTGCATAAGCTCTCTTGCATTTCACTGTGGAGTGCACCAAATTTATTTAGCCAGGTGCTTCTTAATGGATGTTTACTAGTAGATTGCTCCCACTTCATTATAAATATGCTGTAACCAGAACCATTCTATATCTCCACTTGTGCACGTTCGCATTTCTGTCAGATGTCAGCATTAGGATTCATGCTGCATGGCTAAGAATTAAAGTATAGCATGGAAGTGTCCTCCTCTGGGGCAGCGCTCCTGTCAGCACGTGAATGAGTGCTCACTCTCCATGCCTCAGCTGCTCTGGATTCTCTAAATTTGTGACAGTCTGAGGCAAAACCAAGTATTTCAGTCTTTTAATATGCATGCCTTTGATCATTACTGAGATGGTGTGCTTTTCACATCGTTACTGGTTATAAGCATTTCTCCACTCCATGCATTGCCTGTTCTTAATCTGGGTTTTATATTTGTTTCTCACTGATTCATTGAGGAATTCTTTTGGATACTACCTTTTTAATGTATATATAGTGTTTTAGAATTTATAAAGCACTTCTCATATGTATAATATCCTATAATTCCATTTTGAGTTTCTCTCTGTGGCCTCATGTCAGCCTGGAGAAATTCCTACTCGCCCATCCCCCAGCTCCCTTAGCTTCCTGCCAATGAGAGACCCAGTCTGGACTCCCGCCAGATGGCAGACCCTAAGTCTCACTGCAGTTCACACCGCCCTTCTTCCAAATCCAGCAGTAGGTTGGGAAGGTTCTATGTTTCCGACATCTGTTCCACACAAGCAAAGTGCATGAATGGCCAAAAGTTAAGGCCTCCAGTCCCTGCCGCCACGCTTTCCCAGCTGCTATGAGGTTGAGTATGGCTTTAGCAGCATGTAATCAGCAATCAACATTGAGCCTTGCATGAAATTGGAAGTAGGGCCACAAGGTAGATTTCAGCGTTAGCTGATTGGTGCTCATTCCCTGTGTGCTCCACAGAGTTTGTGAAGAGGCTCCGTTACTGCGAATACCTGGGCAAGTATTTCTGCGACTGCTGCCACTCTTATGCTGAGTCCTGCATCCCTGCGCGGATCCTCACCGCCTGGGACTTCAGGAAGTACTACGTCAGCAATTTCTCCAAATGGCTGCTGGATAGTATATGGCACCAGCCCATTTTCAATTTGCTGAACATCAGCCAGAGCCTGTGTGCGAAGGCCAAGGAGCTGGACAGAGCGAAGGTGAGCAGCGGCCTTTGGGGGAAGCCAGTCCAGCTGCTGAAAGGGTCTGCTGCCACAAATCTGTTAAATTTCCAACATTCAATTCAGTATTGTAAACTATAGTCATCATGCTGTACATTAGGCCTCTAGAAGTATCCACTCTATATGCAAGTCTCAGGACTCAGTCTTCAACCCTTGCTAAATAGACTTTACTTCAAAGGCTTGTTTTATAGTGTTGTAGCATTTCTAGGTTAGAAATAACATTTAAATTTGACATACATTTCCAGTGTCATTAATTACATTATGAGTATCCCATTTTGTTTCTGACATTAGGAAATCCAGGAGCAGCTGTTTCATATCAAGAAGCTATTGAAAACCTGCAGATTTGCTGAAAGGTACTACTGTTGGCTGGGACAGTCTGGGCATGTGAGTTGGGAGCACTGATAACCTCCACACATTTGCTAATCCTCTGTGTGCCTCCTGGCCTGGCCCCTCCAATACACAGGGCCTCTTAGTTTCCCCTCAGTATTGGGAGGGGGATTGGTTCCAGAAACACTAGGATAACAAATACTCTGTACATAGGTTCAGAGCCCTTCTATAAAATCCTATCTAATAAAAGAGTAATATGCAAATTGACCATGACTCCAACACACAAGATGGCTACCCCTTGTGGTCAAAGGATGGCTGCCCCATGTGGACACAGATGGCCACCACAAAATGGCCAGCAGGGGAGGGCAGTTGGGAGGGACTAGGGCGCAAGGGAAGGCAGTTGGGGGCAATCAAGCCTGCAGGGGAGGGCAGTTAGGGTTGACCAGGCTGGCAGAGGAGGGAAGTTGAGGACAACTGGGCCTGCAGAGAAGGGCAGTTGTAGGGAACCCAGGTTTGCAGGGAAGGGCAGTTAGGTGCAAACAGGCTGGCAGGGGAGTGGTTAGGGGGTGATCAGGCTGGCAGGCAGAAGCAGTTAGGGGCAGTTAGAAAGACAGGCAGGTGAGCAGTTAGGAGCCAGCAGTCCTGGATTGTGAGAGGGATCCCAGATAGGAGAAGGTGCAGGCTGGGCTGAGGGACACACACCCCTGTACTTGAATTTTATGCACCAGGCCTCAAGTATTCAATAAATGAGTGAGATCATGTGATATTTATCTTTCTTTGACTGGCTATTTCTCAAAACAGGATTCATGTTAGATCTAGGGAGGGAATCAGCACACTAGTCCATTGCTGGATTGTGTGTTTGGTACATAGGTACAGAGTCCTGAGCATGCAGAAGAGCATTTTGTTCATAAGGCAAGGGACCAGGCAAGGCTTCCAGAGATAAAGCCCGAGCTGGGAATGGAAGCAGGCTGAGGGAGTGCCCAAGCTGGATGGAGAATTAAATATGGTTTGGCATCACTAGAACTTCAGGTCCAGTATAGGCAGTGGCTGCCTTAGGAATACAGTGTGTGGTGATGCATCTCATCACAGATTTAGGGAGTTTAGGAGGAGGTCCAGAAGGTTTGGAGAAGGTTTTGTTCAGTTTTGAATGTTGTTGGTGCATCCAAGTGCCTGTGACCAGCCCACAGATGGATAGTCTTAAGCTTAGTTTTGAACTCAAGGATTTGGGAGTTATATGCCTGAACCATTATTTTTCTGCCATCTGGGGCAACTGTCAGTGACAGACTTGAAATTTAGGTGGAATCAGTAAGGTAGTGAGTTTTATCCCAGTACACAGTTTTAAGACTTGAAATAATATTCTGGTTTTTTTGTTTGTTTGTTTGTTTGTTTGTTTTTTCCTGGTGAGTCTGCAAGAAACACATTTTTCTGCTAGTTCAGTTTTTGAAATCAGTATGGGATTTTTACCTTGGCTTCCAAGTGAACTTGCAAAATCTAACGATGTTGAATGAGTAAGATTAACTTGTTCCTGGGGCTCTTTTTAAAAAATTGAGTTAAAAAAAGTAAGTGGGAATGCCAGGAGAAAACTACTACCTGCTCACCCCTTTCCCTCTTCTCCCCCAGCCTGTGTGGGTGGGTTCTTGAATCCTTTTTGTTTTTTCTATGGCAGTACATTAAAAGAATTTGAGCAGGTGCCCAGGCATTTGACGGATAATCTCTACCTGTTCTCCCTGGAGGACCTGGTCAGGGTCAAGAAAGGGCTACTGGCACCCGTGCTCAAGGACATTCTGAACGCTTCCCTTTCTCATGTGGCTGGCTGTGAGGTGAGGTTCACAGGGGGCAGGTGTGTCCCTGAACTGTCTCTTGTGTTTCAGGTCCTGTGCTAGGTATTCTGCACTTCATATCATTTAACTTTTATAAAAGAGGTGGCATTGCCCTTTCCCAATGGGAAAAATGAGGTTCACAGCTGTTAAAAGAGTCTAGGTAATCCTGGTGGTAAGTCTCAGGGCCGGGATGCAAGCCTGGGCCAAGCGGCTTCATGGTCTGGATTCCCATCTATCCCATCTGTGCCAAATGCAGCAATGTCAACTCAGGATCCAATGAAGCAGGAGCTCTTTGTCTATAGGGATTGGAGAATTACTGTGCAGCTATTAGAAACAAAATTAGATAATGTAAGAGGCCATGTTTAAAATCATGATCTTGCTCTGGTGCCTTAATCCAAATCAATGTGACATTTTTCCATGCAAAATGAATGTACATTTATTGTTCTCATCCACTCATTGCAGCAGAATATAACACCTCGTTCCTTTCAGAGGCTGGAATTTTAGACATTTTAAAATGGCTACTTATCAAGTTCTGTAAAAGTAGTGATTAAGATTCTCTATCAAAAGAGATATTACCAATGAAGATTTTAACTCTTTGATTCCTCTTACAGCTGTGTCAAGGAAAGGGCTTCATTTGTGAGTTTTGTCGGAGTGCAGCTGTCATCTTCCCATTTCAGATCACAACGTGTAGAAGATGTTCAGGTATCTTAATAAATGAATAACATAAGCTTATCCTAGCTAATAAAGAGGAAATATGCAAATTGACCATCACACCATCACAAAGATGGTGGCACCCATAGCTACAAGATGACGACACCCAGTCCCCTCTGCCCCACCAGAGTCCCCCGTCCTTTTACCCCCGCTGAGGACGGGGGGAAGGCACATGGTATGGCCGAACCTGCCCTCAGCCTTCCAGCTGCCCAGGGCTGGCTCAAGACACAGGTAAGCCTAGGATGGAGGCTGCCCAGCTGCCCAGGGCCACCCAAGGCTCAGGTAACCAAAGCTAGCCAAGGCTTGTGCTGCCAGCAGTGGCAGCAGCACAGGAATGATGGAAGTGTTGCCTTCCCCTGATCACTGGGTCACCTCCCACCCCTAAGGGCTCCTGGATTGTAAGAAGGGGCAGACCAGGCTGAGTGACTCCCCCACTCCAATGCATGAATTTTCATCCACTGGGCCTCTAGTTAATAAGTGAAGAGTTAACATCCTATCTAATAAAAGAGTAATATGCAAATTGATCACTCCAACACACAAGATGGCCGCCCCCATGTGGTCAAAGATGGCTGCCCCTGTGTGATCATAAGATGGCCACCAGAAGATGGCCTGCAGGGGAGGGCAGTTAGGGGTGACTGGGCCAACAGAGGAGGGCAGTTGGGGGAGATCAGGCCTGTAGGGGAGGGCAGTTGAGGGGGGTCATGCCTACAAGGGTGGGCAGTTGGGGACAATTAGGTCTGCAGGGGAGGGCAGTTGAGGGTGACCCGGCTGGCAGGGGGGTGGGTATTTAGGGCCAATCGGGGCAGCAGGGGAGCAGTTATGCATTGATCAGGTTGGCAGGGGAATGGTTAAGGGGTGATCAGGCTGGTAGGCAGAAGTGGTAAGGGGCAATCAAGCAGGCAGGTAGGCGAACAGTTGGGAGCCAGCAGTCCTGCATTGTGAGAGGGATCAGGCCTAAATGGGCAGTCAGACTTCCTTTGAGAAATCCCAGATTAGAGAGGTGCAGGCTGGTCTGAGGGACATCCTCCCCCCCCCCCCCCCATGCATGAATTTCATGCACCGGGCCTCTTGTAAGTTTAATAACAAGCACAAAAATAGCTTAAGCTTGCCCTGGCCTGTTTGGCTCAACAGATAGGGCATTGGACTGCAGACTGAAGGATCCCAGGTTTGATTCTGGTCAGGGGCATATGCCCAGGTTGTGGGCTCAATCCCCATTAGGGGGTGTGATTCTCTCTCATTGTTGATGTTTCTAATTCTCTCTCTCTCTCCCTTCCTCTCTAAAATATATATATATATATATATATATATATATATATATATATATATATATATATAATTTTTAAAAATTAGCTTAAGCTTAATAATATCTAAATAACATTTCTTTAAATTATAATGATGCTGGTTGTGCTATATGTTGAATTGGAGCTAGTAAAGTTTTGGATGCACAGGAAGTAGTATTTGGGTGCAACAGGGATAAAGGGTGATGTCTCCTAGTACAAGGTTTAAAGAGAGGAAGTGTACCCAATTTTGCCTGTGCCTAATTCTTCTATACCAGGATAAGCTACAGCACTGCATTTTGTAGTTGAATCCATTTTGTAGTTGGATCGTGGTCATACCCAACACTGAAGTGTTACCTCTGGCTTCATTTGTGCTATAATGGCAGAGTTGAAAAGTTGTTATGGAGACTATATGGCCCACAGGACCTAAAGCATTTACCAACTACCTGTTTACAGAAAAGTTTTGCAGATCCTTGTTCTACTCTATTAGTGCCCCAGGAAATACTGTGTTCTCTAAACTGTTTCATGGGAGAGATATGGTAAGAAATCTGCCTTTGCCCTTGATATGAGCAAGCCGTCCTCTTCGACCACTCAAGTGTTGTTTCCCTGACTCATTGGGCAGTGTTCCCTGCAGGAAAGCTTTGAGGCAGAGATTTGCATGCAGAAAGTTCACTGTGGCACATTCTTAGGCTCAACACCCATGGAGGTGTGAAGACAGCAAGGTTGGGCAGAGGGAGAAGCTGAGCTGTTATGTGGTTTGAAGTGAAGGCTTAACACATCTCATGAGGAGCTCTGAAGCAGGGATGGCCTTCAGCATTGTTTCAAACTGAGAAAGGGGGACAGCCACGTCTTTAAAACCTACATTGACCAGTCAGTCACACAACATGCTGGTGCTAACAAGGGGACATGACCTTGAGCAAGGCAGCTCTCCCAATTGGGCCATTTCCAGGGAAGGGACACCACCTCCTGAGCCATTGGCTAACAATATTCTCATCAACTTGGAGAATGTCCCTTGGGCGGAATTGGGGGACACTGCAGCATCCACTCATCAGGCTCTCAGAGATCAATGTTCATGACCTGTTGAAGACTTTATAATGACCTCTAAGTTTTAATCTTTTTGATTTTTTTTTTTTAAGAATCTAGTTTCTGGATTTTGATCCTTTCTTTCTTGGGGATGAGTGTACATATCTGAGAAAACAAGATAGCGCCTTTGCTTATGTCTGTCCTTCTTGCTTGCAGAGTGCAGAGCTTGCTTTCACAAGCAGTGCTTCCAGTCTTCTGAGTGCCCCCGGTGTGCAAGGATCACAGCTAGGAGAAGACTTTTGAAAAGTTTGCCATCTGCAGCAACATAATGCCCCAGTACTATGAAAAAGATTGTTCAACATGCCTATGACAACACCAATCTGTTATTGATAACATTATTTTAGATATTGAGTATTATATATTAAGAAGAAAAATGGTCAATATTCTCTTTATTATATCTTTAGTATTTTAAAACAATGCAGATTTGTTGTCATTAAGCAAAGGGTTGTTACTGGCAGTTTTGTTTACAAATAAACACTGATACTATTTATTTTAAGAGTTTTTTTATACTAATAATGTATTTGCATAGTTGTATTTAAATAATTTTGGAGTTTTTTTTAATGAATTTTAACTTACATGATGAATTACTCCATTCTTCTTGTAAAGCTGTTTGTGAAATGGATTGATACTTTCACTGAATAAAAATACAACCAAAAATACCTTTGCTTAAAGCTTTGATTTTGGCTTAAATACCATTTTGTATTGTATCAGTCTTACAAACTTTATTTCAGGGTTTTTTATAGAGAGTATACATTACTTCTGCTGTTATATCTATTTCAAGATGAGTTTGAGTTGCTTAATTCCTGTGGAGATGCTCTTTGAATCATTGGCCACTAGATGGCGCTCCTTCAGATGGCTCAAATCAAAAGTTATTTTTTGTCATTTCTTCAACACACTCAGCCAAGGGTTGCATGTGTGAGTAGAACTTTATCCCTGCCCTTTAGGATGTTGTCTTATAGGTATAAAGTTGAGCATAAGATATTTGAAGACATAAATAAGGTGTGAGAAAATATTACTAGTAACAATGTACAAAGTAGTACAAATTGTTCCCTAACCCCATCCAGTCCAGTGTTTGTGAGTGAGTGTGTGTGTATGTGTGTGTGTGTATGTTTGTGTGTTTTATTCAGTTGGATAATATTGAGCACATTAAAAAAATTAGTATGTCCTATCAATGTGGTTTTTCTCAACCTGTCATTTGTTTTTCCATCCTGATGCCTCTGCCAGATCTCTGCTCCCATTTATTATTTAGCCCGTGTCTCTTTTAAAAAAGAAATATTATTACATGGGATGAGATAAATAAGATAAATAAAAAAATAAAAAATATTTTATTCCTACCCAGAGCTTATAGTCTATGTTACGAATCAAGGGTCAGAGTGGAATGTTGATATTCCTTATAACAGCTCTACGAGGTTCATGTCAATATCTCCATTTTGCAATAAGGAAACTGCGGCTTCAAACAGAGAAATAATGCACCTAGGTCCCCATAATTAGTGCATGGGATTGGTGGATTGGCATTTTACTTGGCTTGCCTCCAAAGCCATGTTCCTACTTTTATATTATCCTTTTGGGATAATATGAGCAAAACAACTTTAACTTGTAAGTTTTGCTTCAATCTAGTTAGTGGCATTGGGCTGAGTGGTTTCTCACATTGCCTTGCACTGATTTGAGGAAGTTGCTGTGGCTTAGGCATTGCTTGAAGGTCTCTGTGTTCTGGTGCTGTGTCTATAAGGCACCGATGAATGCATGTATGACACAGCTTTGATGTTGAGGAAGAGGGCACAGCAACTCTCAGGAAGTGATGCTTTTGATTTCTTTATTTTGAGCAAGAATGAATCAGTTTAAATAACCATTGTATGGATTTGGCTGAGACAGGTGCCTCCCCATTATGGTCACAAAGTCTCCTTCCTAGTTAGGTGCCTGTTTGAACAGAAAAGTGGCTTCATCTCGCATGCAACACGCTGTAGGGAAGTAATTAGTTGTGACATATATTGCTCTTTAATACATTTACTCCTTACATGGTTTTTCCATGCTACTTTTATTTGGCCTCCAGAAAGAAGATGAAGATTTGATCTTTCTCATCAGACTGTCACCCACTGAGAGACATTGAGTTGCAGTGCTGTGATCCCAATGATTAATTTTATGCCCTCACTTACGAAATTCCAGTAACTTGTTCTTTGTAGCCATGACTCTCAGCTGCAGGTAAGTGTTCTATGAGGGGAGAGTATAAAGGGAGTGAGAGTGGTGAGGTATCCCAAAGATATTCTGGTATATTGAATTGGGTGAGAATTACTGGATTGATTCTCAGATCTGTTACTTCCTACCTATGTGACTCTTGGCAAGCTACTTAAATGATCCAAATCTCTGCTTGTAAAATTGGGTATAATAACTGTCTGCAGGCTTAGAAATGAAAAAGAAGCACCCAGTAGAAGGCCTAGTATAATACAAACAGGCAAATTAAAAACTGAATTATGCAGTGAGACCGGTTTGGCTCAATGGATAGAGCGTCGGCTTGGGGACTGAAGGGTCCCGGGTTCGATTCCGGTCAAGGGCATGTACATTGGTTGCGGGCTCATCCCCAATAGGGGATGTGCAAGAGGCAGCTGGTCGATGTTTCTCTCTCATCGATGTTTCTAGCTCTCTATCTCTCTCCCTTCCTCTCTGTACAAACTCAATAAAATATATTTAAAAAAAAAACCCTGAATTATGCCACCTATTCAATATCTTTGTATAAGTTACTCTCTGATTCTAAATTTAACATGAGAGTGAGAACATTGAATAATACTATTAATGGGCTGTGTCTCCCCCCAACCCCCCAAAAGAAATGTTGAAGTTATAATTCCAGGTACCTTAAGTGTGATCTTATTTGGAAATTGAGTGTTTAAAGATGAATTAAGATGAGGTAATACTGGATTTGGGTGGATCCTTATCCAATAACTGGTATTCTCATAACAAGAGGGAAATTTGGAAAGAGATATAGTCAGAAATCACAGGGAGAATACCATGTGAAAGTGACAGAGATTGGGGTGATACGTCTATAAGCCAAGGAACATCAAGGATTTCTGACCACCAGCAGAAGCAAGGAGAGAGGCACAGAGTAGATTCTCCCTCAGAGCCTCCAAAAGGAACCAATTCCACTGATACCTTGACTTAGGACTTCTAGCATCCACAACTGTGAGAGAATTCATTCCTGTTGTGCTAAACCACTCAGTTTGTTAAGAAACTTTTGGTAATACATCTACCATTTGGCGTCATTAGGTCAATGATGATTAAGTAGCCTGTGTAGAACTGGTGTGCCGAAAGAGGCATATCAAGTATTAGACCTCATATCTTCAGGCATCAGGACACAGAAAATGGACTTTAAAATATAACACAAAAGACTATACTATCTATATAGGGTGAGGCAAAAATAGGTTTATAGTTTTTTTTTGGATGGAAAATAATACAATAATTAATAAATAATAACAAAAATAACTGTGTTTCACATACTCACAATTATAAAACTACTTTTGCCCCATCGTGTAGATTAGTGGATGTCTATCTAGACAGAGATCCCCAAAACAGAGCATTAGCAACTAAATACTACTGCCTCGTTTACCTCAGCTCTTCAGTGTTGGAGAGAGCTGCTTACCCTCAGGTTTTAGGAGACAGCCATGAATTTGGAAGGTAGTGGTTTGAGTCATGGTGAAGGAGGTAGAGAATGCTCACTGTTACCTCACAAATTGAAAGGCAGATGAAACCATCTTAATATTCAGCTATAATAGAAACTGAGATATATCTTAAAATAAATCTTAAGAACCTGATTATGAGTGTTAAGAACATCCTCCTCTTCTCTTGTCTGCACAGGGTTGAAGTGGGATTGGTGCTGAGAAGCAAGGGTGCCTGTACCTGCCCCATGCTGTCCTCACTGGTGAACCCACTCATGGGCATCTGCATACAACAGAGGACAGGTTCTTAGGCCCCTCCTCATTCCAGCTTCATGTAGAGGACCTCAGAGGGTGAGAGAGGCTGTTGAATAGATGGTGTCATGATATCCTAGAATAACTGCCGGTGAACAAATGTGGGCAGGTCACTTTTGCAGCCCTTAGTTGTAGGTGTCTGTAGTATACAATCCTAGGGGATAAGAAGCCAGTCAAGAATAAGACTCCATTTTCAAACTAAGTCTGAGGTATCACTGGGATATCCATCAGGTAGAGGGAAGATCTGTGGAGAAAGATCCATACAGAAGCCATGAAGGAGGTGACTAAGATATCTGTCAAAGTATAGGCAACAGCTGGAGGTTGAAGAGGCACCAAATAGTAAGTCAGCAGTGCTGTCATCCAGCTCTGGACATGGGGAACAAGGTATGGACTCTGCAGTCAAGGTGCTCACTGCCACCCCCAGAGAGGCTGGCAGGAGCAGGGTGACAGGTACAGTAAATAGAAGTCACAGTGTATATTTTCTGATGGGAGGGGAACAGAGGGGAGGGGAAGGTCTCCAGGAAGAGCAGCACAAAGGCAGTGTGGTGGGTAACAGGTTTCTCTGGGGAAGGCTGAGTAGACCAGCATAGAACTGAGGGGTTTGCTGGGAATGAAGCTGGAAAGGTAAGCAGAGCCTTTGACATGGAGCCCAGTGATATGGGGGTGGTGGGGGGAGTGGAGTTGGACTCTTTTTGAAGAAATTTGAAGAACAGATGGGCACAACTCAACTTCCACTCAAGGAAGAAAATACTGAGTGCAACTGTAGGATGAATCAGAGCAGGGAATGGAGACTGGAGACTGAGGGCTGTCACAGAGGAAACAGAAAGGGAGGGATGTTTGAAAAAGCGGGGCGAGGGGGAGAGGACTAGGGTGAAATGATTGAGGCATTCATCTTAGGTGTAAAATTCAAGGGAAACCCCAAAACTTCGTATTTAATAAAAACCATGTTTTCATACAAATTTTTAAATTAATGTAAAAAAAATCCTCCTATATAATAAAAGAGTAATATGCAAATTGTCCCCTCAACTAGGAGTTCGGGGCGGGGGGAAGGAGGGGGAGCAGCTGACTTTCCTTGGTCCTTCTCCCTACCAATTGGCCTTGATTGGGATGGGCCAGCTGGGCCCACCCATGTACAAATTTGTACACAAGGCCTCTAATCAATGAGAAAATCTCAAAATTTCAAATAAAGACAGGATTCTACCATCCACTAGCTCAATTTGGCCTTATTCATCTCATCCAAATCCCAGCCTAGGAAAGACACTGAGGAGACACTGTACCTGGAAGTTGAGCCTGGAGGGGTGGGGAGGCTTGCA